TTCTATTCTATTCTATTCTATTCTATTCTATTCTATTCCATTCCATTCCATTCCATTCCATTCCATTCCATTCCTATTCTATTCTATTCTATTCTATTCTATTCTATTCTATTCCATTCCATTCCATTCCATTCCATTCCATTCCGGTCTGGTCTAGTCTGGAGTTGAAGTCCACAAGTCTTAAAAGTTGCCAAGTTTGAGGACCCTTGAATTAAACTCCTGAGCAGCCTAAATCCAAACTCCAGCTAGCCCCGCCTTCTTTCTGGCCTCCCATTCGCTTCCCCGCCTGCCGCTGCTCCGCCTTCCACTCAGCTTGAGCCTCGCCGCTCGCCGTCGGCCCCGTTGTCATGGCTACGTGAGCGGCGCGGCCCACTTCGCCGTGGAGCCTGAGAAAAGTTAACCGACAAAGCGGGCTTGCAACAAGCCGTTGTTATGTCTTTCCGCGATCTCCGGAGTGAGTCGAATGGGGCGAGGGGACGGGGACGGTCCGGTGTTGTATATGAAGTCCCAGCTGAGCCTCCTCTAATTTATTCCATTATTTAATCACCCCAGCGGGGCGCCATGATCCCCACCCAGCCCCCCCCCTATTACCAAAGAGCTCAGGGCAGCGTATGTGACACCCCCCCACGCACCCCTCTTTGATCCATACAACAACCCTGGCAGGTAGGAATCCCATAGCTGGCCTGCAAGAATCATCCCGACCACAGGTGGCAGCAGAGAGGCGCCAGGCAAACCCTCGGCTCGTTGCTGCCATCTAGAGGCCGCCTGGAGGCATCCAGAATAACAAAGGCTGTTTTCCCCCTCTGGAAGCTTAAAAGATTTATGTGGAGTCCCATCGTCCCCAGCAAGCATGGTCCCAGGGAGTGGAGGGGGGGGAAGGTCAGAGTTTTAACACTCATGAAGGGCATCAGATTTGGAGAAACCACTCAATTCCTAAATTAAAATACTACTGACGCTAATAACTGTATTAAACTTGCATGCCACCCAACTCTTCCAACGATGGTCTCTGTTTTCTATTGTTTTGTTGCTTTCTCCTATTTTTTTAATTGTCAGCCACCCCCAGATGTCATTGGGAGCCTCTAAATGTAATAAAATAACGATAAATTTAATAAAATAATGATAAGTGATGTGTTAGGGTGCCTTTTGTAACCTAGAACTAAGGCAGTGGTTCTCAACCTTTTTAATGCCGCGACCCCAACCGGTCGTAAGTCGAGGACTAAACCGGTCGTAAGCCGAGGACTAAACCGGTCGTAAGTCAAGGACTACCCAACCGGTCGTAAGTCGAGGACTTTCCCTGCCCGGGAGCGCCGCGCATGCGTGGTTCCGCCCCTTGCGCCGGCCAAGGCGTAGCTGGCAAGCGGCAGAGACGGAGCAGGCCGACCACCAGCTGGCCCAGCCCAAGGGAGGTAAGGCACCCGCCGGAAAAGGGGGAAAAAATGGCGGACAGCCTTGCTTGGCGACCCCCGTGAAATGGTCAATCGACCCCAAATGGGGTCCCGACCCACAGGTTGAGAACCACTGAACTAAGGAGAAACTGCCTGACAGTTAGAACAATTAATCAGTGGAACAACCTGCCTCCAGAAGCTGTGAATGTCTGAAATGCTATAGGGTTTCCTGTCTGAACAGGGGGTTAGACTAGAAGACCTCCGAGGTCCCTTCCAACTATTATTATTATTATTATTATTATTATTATTATTATTATTATTATTATTATTATTATTATTATTATTATTATTATTATTATGGATCATCGCACAGTCAGCCAGATGTTCAGACTGGATTTGGCATTTTTGTCTACCTATCGAGTCCTTCCCAAGGACCTGGGATAGGCAGATGTGGATGTTTGATGGTATTACAGATATCGTTGCAGGATGGAAGCAGTTCCTAGTAATGCTGCCTTTTGCAATTGACTAATGGCGAATTTGTCAATGCCAATGGTGTTCAAGTGGTGCTCCAGTTGTTTTGGGATTGCACCCAAGGCGCCTATTACTATTGGTACTACCCTTGCTTGCCTTTGCCACAGTCTTTCTATTTCTATTTGTAGGTCTTTGTATTTTGTTATCTTCTCCAGTTCTTTCTCGTCTATTCTACTGTCTCCAGGCACTGCCACGTCCACTATCCAGACTTTTTTGTCTTTTTTATCGACTATTATAATTATAATAATAATAATAATAATTATTATTATTATTGTTGTTGTTGTTGTTGTTGTTGTTGTTATGTACCTGCAAAGTATAGTCTCTATAAGTATCCATAATCTATGACCCACATCTTAAGATAATGTAAAGAAAGGCTGACATAATTCTGCTTTTCAAAAATTGGCAAATACTGCCCAAGGCCCATTGCGATGTCTTATTTTTCAGACTCGTGGTACTAATACTGAAGCTGATGACTAATTTTCTGAGTCACATTTTCTGACCAGCACTAAACTCTATTTTCATTGCTGAATTCAGCCGTCAGCCGGCCGTTTTCTGCACTGCATTTTCATTTGTTTGGCATGTCATGCTTCAAAGCGTAGCATGCAAAATGATTTCTGCTGCGAAGCCTCTACTGGTGCCCTCAACCAGTATCTTTTCATCCCCCTGGGGAAAAAACCCCTTTGCAGGTTCATTGCCTTCAGCTCTGTCACACCCTACACTAATCCACACTGTGATTTGTTTTCTTTTTTCGCCTTATTGTGTTGCTTGTTTCCAGCTTTGGTGATTTGTAAACCACAGTTAGTGACGTAATGTTCTGGTTTATCATTTTATTTAAATTAAAAAAAAACATGATCTGGCAAAACCCAGTCAGGTTTGTGGGTGGGCGGGCCCAACGTGTCCTTCCTTTTCACAGAAAAAAATGATGTTGTTGCTGCAGTGACCGATATTAAGCCTAGCACTAAATCCCACCCCATCAGTTCCTCTGCTGAATACCTGTTGGTCCGATGGAAGCCACTGTAGCCTGTCTTGAATAGACAAAGTCAATAACTTTATTGTCTACCACCTATGTTACAGAAGTGGAAGCGTGGTGGCTCACGTGGTTGGAAGTTAGGAAATCTGCATTCAAGACCCAAGTGCTGCTGCGTGGCAGGATAAGCTCCCATCATTTGCTCCAGCTCCTTGATGGGGACATGGAAGGACACCCCAAGGGCGTCCCCTGAGCAATGGTGATGTCGCTGGCTAATCCTTTCAACCCAGAAGCACTTTAAACGGTGCCCCCCGACATGAAAGAAAGGAGACCTATATATTGCAAAAATCTCCCAGCATGCTCGCCTTCGCTTGGGAGATAAAGCTTCGTGGATCCTGGGGGAGGCTTATGTCACTTGTAACTGCAAGGATTCCGAGCTAGGCCCTCGCTTGACTCCTCCTTCCAGCCTAGCTGACAGTTTCCCAGCACTGTTAGAAAATGTGTGTGAATTTATTTATAGATTTGTATCCATCTTTTTATGTCTAGGTAGTAGTCCTTGACTTAACAACTATTTGTTTAGTGAAGTTACAACGGCACTGAAAAAAATGACACGACTGTTTTCCTTACTTATGACTATTGCAGCACTTCTGTTATGTGATCAGAATTTGGACACTTGGACACTGGCTCATATTTATGACGGATGCAGTGTCCCAGGGTTGTGTGATCCCCTTTTGTGATCTTCTGACAAGCAATTCACTTAACAACTGTGTTACTAACTTAACGATTGCAGCGATTCACTTAACTGTGGCAGGAAGGGTTGTAAGAGGAGGCAAAATTCACTTAACTATTTCGCTTAGCAACAGAAATGTTGGGCTAAATTGTGATCGTAAGTCGAGGACTATCTGTACTCTCCATGAGTACAGAATATGGAATGAAATTTCCCAATTCCAGTATAGAAGTGTGAGAGAGAAATTAAGAGGTACTGTACTTGAATGTATTAAAAGTTTCATATTTATTTATTTTTTTTGCCAAAGATTTTACTGAGATGATGAGGGCGCTGGGCTATCCCCGGCTGATCTCGATGGAGAATTTTCGGACTCCAAATTTCATGCTGGTTTCAGAAATACTCCTTTGGCTGGTAAAAAGGTTGGTGCTCAGCTTTAATTTCAAAATAAATATCAGCAACTGTGGTTACAGCACTTGCGAAATGCTTGGAACGTTTCAAAAGAGCTTAAAATTGAAATTTAGAAGTTGAAGTATTCTGGAAGATTTCCAGTTTTTTTTTAAAAAAAAGATTGCAACCAAAACATATTCAAAGCTTTTAAAAATATTGATGCTTGATCATCAGTTTGAACCATCTGTTGTTTCTCTGCGGTAGCTCGACATATTTTTGAGATTAAAATATCTCTCCTTGGTTGTTTTGCATTTGAAATTAAACAGTGGAATTTTCCTGTAATAGGTTGAAAAAGACTTTGGTAAGATATATGAGGTTGGGGGGAAAAAGCAGACTTAAGATTTGTTGTGTATTTTGTAAACAAGACATTTTGGTTATTGTTGTTGTTAGTTGTGAAGTGTCCGACCCATCGCGACCCCATGGACAACGTTCCTCCAGGCCTTCCTGTCCTCTACCATCTTCTGGAGTCCATTGAAGCTCACGCCTACTGCTTCAGTGACTCCATCCAGCCACCTCATTCTCTGTCGTCCCCTTCTTCTCTTGTCCTCCATCTTTCCCAGCATCAGGCTCTTCTCCAGTGAGTCCTTCCTTCTCATTAGGTGGCCAAAGTCCTTGAGTTTCAACTTCAGGATCTGGCCTTCTAAAGAGCAGTTGGGGTTGATCTCCTCTAGGACTGCCCGGTTTGACTAAAATTCCTGGGTTATCTCCAGTTTCAACCTTCAAGGTTTTGGGACAGTCCAGAAGTCCTGAAAAAAAATGCTACTTAATTTGCAGTTTGCAGTAAGACAGAAGAGGGAAACTCACATGGAGCAATTACATAAACTAAATTAAATTAAATTGAAATTCGGTTAAGTTTATTTTTTGGGCTGGCTCTGCCCAGTTCTCATCCCATGTTCTTTTTGTGTGTGATTCCCATTACACCATAAGCCCTGGTGCCGCAGTGATTAAAGTGCAGTATTGCAGGCAAACTCTACCAACAGCCGGAAGGAAGGAAGGAAGGAAGGAAGGAAGGAAGGAAGGAAGGAAGGAAGGAAGGAAGGAAGGAAGGAAGGAAGGAAGCAAGCCATAGTGGCGCAGTTGTTTCAATGCAGGCTGACTCTGCTCACTGCCAGGAGTTCAATCCTGACCAGCTCAAGGTTGACTCAGCCATCCATCCTTCCGCGGTCAGTAAAATGAGGATCCAGATTGTTGGGGGCAACGGGCTGACTCTGTCAACCGCTCAGAATGCTGTAGAAGCACAATGGAGTGCTATATAAATCTAAGTGCTATTGCTAACACACCACTCAAAATCCAGATGTGGTCCTTAGCCCATAAAAAGTTGTATACTTCTGCAGTGAAGATTAGGCAAAATAGATTACCATGGTTCAGTTTGGGAATTGTGCCAGTCAGAACTCAAAAAATATTTCAAAAGAATTCGCTTTCTTGGTCACCTAGAGAGACCTATAATTTTCTTTGACAAGCAAAGACAGCTTTATGCTTTATTTAGTTCTGAGTTTAAAGTAGTCTTCAGGTGAATGTTTTCCTGGTGCTCTCTCTGCAGCGAAATTAAAGGTTAGCAAGGAAGTCTAAAAAGTTGTCCCAAGGACAGGTAGTCCTTGACTTATGACCACAATAGAAATTCATGCCCGATTTTACAACCTTTTTGGCCATGGTTTTTAAATGAATCACATGGTCATTAAGCAAATTCGGCTTTTCCCCCATTGACTTTGCTTGTTGAAAGCCAGCTGGGAAGCTTTTAAATGGAGATCATGTGACCCTCCAATTATCATCAATCTATGCATTATCCTGCAAGCCATTTTGAACCAGCTCGGCGTTGCCTAAGCCGTGGCAAATGGGCGGCCAATAAATGTGATAAATAAACCCGCCGTAACATAAATGGTGGGATGTAAACATTTCAGTTCAGATAAATACAAGAGATGCTGTGGCCCCTGCTGAATTCTACCTCCGTCTCCTTTTTGCAGATGCTCAATTCTGTATCTATTTCCTTTTTGCAGATACGAGCCTCAGACTGATATCCCTTCCGATGTTGAAACAGAGCAGGACCGGGTTTTTTTCATTAAGGCTGTTGCTCAGTTTATGGTGAGTTTATTTATCTAATGTCCCCGAAGGGCCCTGAAAGATCAAATGCAAAATATTAAATTGAGTACCAGAGTGCTCTCCCAGTTAATTTTTAAATAAAAATACTTCAAATACAGAGAGAGAGAGAGAGAGAGAGAGAGAGAGAGAGAGGAAGGAAGGAAGAGAGAAAGGAAGAGAAAGAGAGAAAGAAAGAATGAAAAAGTGAGAGAAAGAAAGAAAGAAAGAAAGAGAGAGAGAGAGAAAAAAAGAAAAAGAAAGAAAAAGGAAGAAAAAGAATGAGAGAGAGAAGAAAAATAGACCTGTAGTTCGAGAATTGGGTCTCAGTTCTCCAGTTGAGGTTGAAGCTGGAGATAGGTGCTGAGACTAATAACACTGCAGATACTCTTAGTATAAGATGAGTTACATGGAAAGTGATGTAATGGATGTGTTGAATTCATGATGAGCCCCAAAGGACAATATTATCTGTTTTGCTGATACTCTGCAACACTGAGTACTGTATCTACAAAGATGTGAAGTATGAGCTGCTTCCAATTTTGAGCATGGACCTGTGACTGGTGGAATCCAAAAGGCTAGTTTTTTGTTGATTGTGATAGTTGGGATAAAACCATTTTGCTTGTTTGATCTCAGCCGTGTTCATTTCATTATCCATCGAGGGAAGCTATCCCCTATTAGTGCCTTTGCCCCAGTCAAGAAGTGTATTCCATTTTGGACCTGCCATTTTCTCCCCCTCTCCTATTGGCCCCTCCCCGGGATGCACCTTCCTCTGGGTATATTCCTCATTTAATTTCCAAAAATGTATTAGACATTTTAGTATGTGTATGTGTGTGTGTATTGGGTTGGATTTATTATTATTTATTTAGCCTATGATGAGAATGTGACAGAAGAGAAGTAAACATATACACACAATCCACGTAATTATGTACAAAACCTTTACAGGGTGGCCTCATAACTGGATGTCCAATTCAGCTTTCCAGTCGATCGCCTCTGGCAGATCTTCTTGCAGATCTTCTAGACCAGGGCTTTTCAACCTTTTCACCCATTGTACCACTTTTAGGATACGGCAATATTCGAGTACCACCTAGCAAGGTGTCAAAAACTTGATGACCCAAAAACCCCCCCCCAAAAAACCCCACCCTGTTCAAAGTTGCAATGGCATTGAAATGACTTATGACCATTTTTCACACTTATGACCATTGCAGCATGCCCAGGGACATGTGATTTATATTTGGACGCTTGGCCACTGGCTCATATTTATGATGGTCACAGTGTCCTAGGGTCACGTGATCCCCTTTTGCAACCTTTTGACAAGCAAAATCAATGGCAGGGCTGCTGGTGGCCAAGTGCTAAGGTGAGACTTCCTTCCCTCCCTCCCTCCCTCCCTCCCTCCCTCTTTCTCATTCCCATCTCCTTCTGAAGGAAGAATTTGAATACCCCCCCCCCCATATTTTCCCTCTTCCATATATTCATCAAACAAGGAAAAGCCTCCAGAGACAGAAAAGAGAAACCATTGAGGGAACTAGAGAACCAGAGAATGCACAGTCTTGTGGGCCATCTTGTTTAATAATTTGCATATCAGCACCACAATCACAACAAGGGGGACCTTTCCATCTCCACTGATACAGGGCAGAGGCCCTTGGACTGGATTGGCGTATGCCTTACAAACGAAATAGAATAATCACACTTTAATGGATCCAGATTGCATGGTGGATCTGCAAGGGCTTTTGAAGAAGAAGGATCCTTCAAAACAAGTGATCCTGTTAGAGCAATTCAATAAGAGTTCTGCAGCCTTTGCAAAAAAAAAGAAGAAGGCCACGTGGTGTGGCAAAACCGATGTGCCAATTAACTGAAGATCTGGTCAGCTGTAAATTTCACCCTTGGTGAACTAAAGCAATAAGGTTCCTGTGCAGAATTTCTCTTGTAGTTAATTAGGAACAGACTGGTCCAGACTGTGTTTAGGATGAATCATTGCTCAAGCTTTCTTTTTTCTTGCCTTTGTTACCCTGTTAGAATTACAGGATCTCGCTGAAAGTACTTCCGTTTTGGAGTAAAACACATTTGATGTATTGTTAGGACATAGGATTGGAATCAGAGAGACCCACGTTCAAAGTTGGATTCAGCCACAGATATTGTCCCTGTCTTTGGGCCAATTATGATTTCAGTCCAACCTACCTCACAGCTTGGCTCCTGCAGGAATAACATTGGAGAAAAGACTGCCATGGATGCTACTTTGATCTGTCTGGAGAAAAGATAAATAACACATGAAATACATCAAATAAAATTGGCTCTTGCAAAAAAATTTGAAAGCAGGCTATAGATCCCAGCAATTGTAGGACTTAGTCCAGGGGTAGGCAACCTTGGCTCTTTTATGACTCGTGGACTTCAACTCCCAGAATTCCTGAGCCAGCACAATTCTGGGAGTTGAAGTCCACGAGTCATAAAAGAGCCAAGGTTGCCTACCCCTGACCTAGTCAGAAGGCACGTAGGACATAGAACCTAGAATAATAGAGTTGGAAGGGAGGTCTTCTAGTCCAAGCAGGAGACCCTATGCCATTCTGGACAAATGACCATCCAGTCGCTTCTTCAATGATGGCGCACCGGCAATGACATTTTCATTTCCCCAGTTGGAAATCATTCGGGAATTCTCTGGAAATAGCTGTGAACTGCTTCATCCTGGGATCTAAGCATATATGGAGGGAGATAGCTGAGCACTCATTTGTTCTTCCAACAGGCCACCAAAGCTCACATAAAACTCAACACCAAGAAGCTTTACCAAGCCGACGGCTATGCCGTGAAGGAGCTGCTGAAGATCACCACGGTGCTTTACAACGCCATGAAGAGCAAAGGGATGGAAACCACAGCTGTGGGTGAAGAAGACGTTGGAAAATTCAAATTTGATCTGGGTTCCAGGGTAAGGAACTTTGAGTTTCCTCTTTTGTGCACTGAGCCTTGCCCTTCCTCCTGAGGCTCAAAGCATCATTTCAGTGATATATAAGTTGTCCTGGTTCCGACAGATGAAACTCTTCAAAAGAACTCCGAGGCATTGTTTACCTTAAAGAATCTTTATTTTGAGTAGCATAACATTGGCACTGCATAATCGAAGCCAAAAACTGAATTCCCCTCCCCTGAGCACCTAGTATCAAAGCACAATTCCCTCTTCCAATTTACAGTCATAAATCACATTCCCCAATTAGCTTGAAGCACGGGCTTCCTCTCCAGCTCTCCAGTCCCCAATTCCTTATCAGCTCTGGTTACAATAACCTTGATTCTCACTCTAGGTTAAGTGTTGTTATGTCTAGCTGGACTCGTTCACATCCCCCCTCCCAGCATCATCTAACTCTAAAAGCAAAAGGTAAAAGATGGCTACATTTCCATCTGTTGTCAATGCAAAAACATCCAATGTTAGCAGCGTTGACATCAGTGTATATAAAGTGGATTAGGTGTTGTCCTACATATAACCATTGAAGTATTGCATAATCCAGTAAACATACCGATCTGGATTTATGCATTGTGCTAAACATAGATTATACTGAATAAATCATGATTGCTTGGGTCTGGAATCAGGTTATATCATAAACAGTAGTGTATAAACCACAATAATGAGATTCACACACCACGATAAGCCAAATCTGAAAAAAGTATTGTATTCTAGTATGGTATGTTCAGCCTTCCTCCACCAGATGAGAGGACAACTCCTACAATTCCTTAGTCTAGCCCAGAGGTAGGCAACCTTGGCTCTTTTATGACTCGTGGACTTCAAGAATTCCTGAGCCAGCATGGCTCAGCATGGAAACCTCTCCCTTTCCCCTCAGCACGGCTGGCTCAGGAATTCTGGGAGTTGAAGTCCACGAGTCATAAAAGAGCCAAGGTTGCCTACCCCTGAACTAGCCTGAATATTACTGAGAATGCTGGGAGTTAGTTAGTTACCTGGAAGTCTCTCAGCTTGGAAAGACAGTAGGCATATTCGAAGATGTGTGAAGTACGTAGACGTATGTTGACCTCTACAAGAAGAAAGACTGACCTGGTTGATGGAAACATCTGGAGAAGTTGTGAGAATTGGCCTTAATTTATGCAAGCGTTCTTCCCTCACTGAGAAGGCCAATTGTGTTCTCTATGAACGGTACAGTATCATGTAGGGCAGGGGTCTTCAAACTCGGCCCTTTTATGACTCATGGACTTCAACTCCCAGAATTCCTCAGTCAGGCATGCTGGCTGAGGAATTCTGGGAGTTGAAGTCCAGGAGTCATAAAAGGGCCGAGTTTGAAGACCCCTGATGTAGGGCAAATAACATCTATGCTGTACTTTGGTAAGGAAGGGATGCGGTCCTTCTCCCCTTCCCTCACTCCAGACCAGGAGCACATTCCAGCTTGGAATTTTCTGCCGCTCTTTTTCCTTCAACATTGAGATGGTCAGGAAAGTAACGCAAGGCACCGCTTACTGCTCACCAAGTTATGAACAAATAAATTATTCAGATCCCTGGTGCACAAATTATTATGGTTATTAATCTGCTCGGAGAAAGGCACTTCCAAATAGATTACTATCTCAGTATACGGCTTTAGTTAGAAGTATTCCCTCCCAGGCACGTACTAATCACTTTTGGTGGACGTGCCCTAAAGCAAAAAAAATTTGGTCAAAAATACACACGTGGTTACAGAAAATGTTAAGAAAACATGTAGATTTTAAGCCAGAACTATTTCTTCTAGGTATAATTACAGAGAACTATGACAAAAAATATTACATGTATTAAAATCAGCGAGAATTACATTTGCACAGTATTGGGAAAACGAAGAAACACCATCGGTAGAAGACATAATTAGGAAAATTTGGGATTGTGCGGAAATGGACAGGCTTAACACTGAAAATGAAAGGGAAGAAAGATACAGAATATTTTCAAACATGGGGTAATTTTTATAAATGGCTAGAAATGCGGAATAGAGAGTAGAAATGGAAGTTGTATTACTATTAATGTTAAATACGTGAACCCAGACGACATGTTGTTTGTTAAGCACCAAAGATTTGTAACTATAAAAACTTAATAAAATATTATATATATATAAAAAGAAATATTCCCTCTCTACTCCTCAGTACTAACCCCTTTTGGAAAAGTAAACTCTGATTTCTCCAAATGTCCGTTTAGATCAGCGATTTGAAGACAGCCAGGCAGCTTGCTTCAGAAATCACTTCGAAAGGAGCGTCTCTGTATGACTTGTTGGGCAAAGAAGTAGTGCTGAGGGTAAGTCTACAAAGAAACATTTGAATTGTCCCACGCTTGCACCAAAAAACAGTTTTTAATATTTTTAATATTTCTAGGCACGCGTTGCCCAGAACGTGGCAGTAACAGTTCTGTGAATATCAATTCCCCTTATTGTTGTCCAAAAGATCCTTTTTCCAAAAGGCATCTGGATTTTCTTGGTGTTTTCCTTTGAAAATGTTTCGCTTCTCATCCAAGAAGCTTCTTCAGTTCTTCAGAAGGACTAGGGATGACATGATAGCATTGTTCCAGTATTTGGGAGGCTGCCACATAGAAGGGGTGTGTGTGTGTGTCAACCTATTTTCCAAAGTACCAGAAGGCTGAACAAGAAGCAATCGATGGAAACTAATCAAGGAGAGAACCAGTCTAGAACTAAGGAGAAATTTCCTGACAGTGAAAACAGTTAACCAGCGGAATGACTTGCTTTAGATGTTATGGGTGCTCCATCACTAGAGGTTTTTAAGAAGAGATTGGGCAGCCATTGGTCTGGAATGGTATGGGGTTCCTGCTTGTGCCAGGGGTTGGAGTAGAAAATCTCCAAGGTCCCTTCCAACTCTGTTATTCTGTTAAAGGAACAAAATCAAGAAAGTCCAGTTGCCTTTTGGAAAAAAACACCTTAGGGACAACCATAATAATAATAATAATAAAGTTGGAAGGGACCTTGGAGGTCATCTAGTCCAACCCCCTGCTCAGGAAGGATACCCTATACCATTTCAGACAAATGGCTGTCCAGTCTCTTCTTAAAAACTTCCAGTGTTGGAGCATTCACTGCTTCTGGAGGCAGGTTGTTCCACTGGTTAATTGTTCTCACCGTCAGGAAGTTTCTCCTCAGTTCTAGGTTGCTTCTTTCCTTGATTAGTTTCCACTCGTTGCTTCTTGTCCTGCCTTCTGGTGCTTTGGAGAATGGCTTGACTCCCTCTTCTTTGGGGCAGCCCCTGAGATATTGGAACACTGCTATCATGTCCCCCCTCGTCCTTCTCTTCATTAAACTAGACATACCCAATTCCAGCAGCCTTTCCTTATATGTTTTAACCTCCAGTCCCCTGATCATCTTTGTTGCTCTTCTCTGTACTCTTTCTAGAGTCTCAACATGTTTTTTACATCGTGGTGACCAAAACTGGATGCAGTATTCCAAGTGTGGTCTTACCAAGGCATTGTAAAGTGGTATTAATACTTCACGTGATCTTGATTCTATCCCTCTGTTAATGCACTGTGTTGGCCTTTTTGGCAGCTGCAGCACAAGGCTGGCTAATATTTAAGTGATTGTCTACTAAGACTCCAAGGTCCCTCTCACAGTTACTACTATTGTGCAAGGTACCCCCTATACTATGAACTGGATGATTGAGAATCTCCATAGACTCTCCTTATTGTTCTGTTGCTGTCCACCTTTCTAGCTCTGTCCATTTTCAAGCAAGATCTCCCTTCGACCAGTCCGCTCCCACAGAGAGGGCCTCCTTAGGGTGCCGTCGGCCAGTCAATGCCGGCTGGCGACCCCCAGGGGGAGAGCCTTCTCTGTGGCAGCTCCTGCCCTCTGGAATGACCTACCCCCCGACCTACGTACAACTACGGACCTGCGCCTCTTCCGCCGAGCCTTGAAAACCCATCTATTCCATGCGGCCGGCCTGGCGTAGTTTTGATTGGGCTTTGCTAGGGGTTTTATATGGGGTATTTTAGAGCAGGCTTTTTATTCAATATTTATTGTGATTTTTATTATTGCCTGTTCACTGCCCTGAGTCCCGTAAGGGAGATAGGGCGGTATATAAATTTAAATAATAAATAAATTAATAAATAAATAAGATGTGTTCCCTTCTTTCTTTCCTAAATTTCATCCTTCTCAATCACGTGCCGAAGGGTAGAGATATACTGGCTGGGAAATTCTTGGAGTTGAAGTCCACAGGTCTTAAAACTTGTCAAGGCTGAGATACACTGCTCTGGTGGGAGAAGATCCTTTTTTGTCTTGATTAGATGTTCCTTCTGCCTTGTTAGGGTCAACAGGACATTTTGAAAGATAAAGTAGACAGATCTGTTGCGTGAAAATCGCTGGGAAGAATTGAAAAAGCTTTTTGTAATGTTCTCTCCCTAATGCTCAGTGCCTTTTTTTCCCCTTCTGCGTTCTGGGCAATTAATTAAAAGGAAGAAGTGGAGTTTCTATCAAGACAGGGATGTTCAAGCAGAGCTATTATTGCTCTCTGTTGAGCTTCTGTTACTGATTTAGCCTTCGGCAACCCCAGGCCTGGTCATATTAACAACAATCCATGGAATACATCTTGGGGATAATCCTGTAAATATTAAAGACTTCCGACATACACCCATCTCATGATCGTTGTCAGGCAGGTCAAGAGGGGTTTTTTTATACTTTGCATTTCCTAGAGGAGTAAATAACTTTCTTTCTCTGTTGGGGGGAAAATAAATAATGCGGTTGGGAATATTTCTCATTCTATATGCAATCAACCTTGTTTTCCATTGATGCTCTAGAATCTAGATCATTAAAGTCTGGGGCTTTTTTTGCCACCATTAGAGCCTTTGCATGTGAATTGATTTTTTCGCAACAGGAGACATAATGCCCATTATGGAATAATAATGTAATTAAGTTGTCATTTTTCATCTGAGACAGTGCAAGACTAGAATGCTCAATGTCTAGGTTTAGAGGTTTTTGAAATCCATGGAGAACAATGTGTGTGGCATCTGTGGCAGGTTTGACACCAATATTTGATTTATTCTTGAAAGACCTTGCAATGGTGCAAGTTAGCTACTGTACTGGAACCAGTATTTATTCAAGATGACTACCTAACCGAATAACAGAGCTGGAAAAGACTTTGAAGGTCTTCTAGTCCAACCTCTTGCTAAGCAGGAAACCCTATACCATTTCAGACAGACAGTTGTCCAATCTCTTCTTAAAAACCTTCAGTGTTGGACCACCCACAGCTTCTGAAGGCAAGCCTGGTTAATTGTTCCAACTGTCAGGAAATTTCTTCTTAGTTCTAGGTTCTCTCCTTGATTAGGTTCCATCCTTGTCCTGCCCTCATGTGCTTTGGAGAATAGGTTGATCCCCTCTTCCTTGTGGCAGCCCCACAAATATTGGAAGACTGCTATCATGTCCCCCCTCGTCCTTCTCTTTATTAAACTAGACATACCCAATTCCTGCAACCGTTCCTTATAGGTTTTAGCCTTCAGTCTCCTGATCATCTTCGTTGCTTTTCTCTGCACACACATATATATTCAAAATGTTGTGGCTGACAAAAAGTTAAAGGGAGACTAGTATAGCTATTTCAAGCTCTTTAGCTCTCATCAACTAGTCTTACCCCTCTGGGATTCGAACCTGGGCAGCTTGCATGTTAGACAGCTGTATTAACCTTTAGGCCACAGGCTGCCCAGGTTCGAATCCCAGAGGGGTAAGACTAGCTGATGAGAGCTATAGAGCTTGAAATAGCTATACTAGTCTCCCTTTAACTCTTTGTCAGCCACAACATTTTGAATTTACAGTGTTCACAGTAGTAACCTGCAAAAGATGCTGCTTGCAAAGATGCTCCTAGACTGGAGTGAAACGAAGGACCAGTTTTGGGGGAGGGGGCAGAAAATTTGTCCATGTGATCCCCTGTTGCCAAAGCAAAGTCAATGGGGGAAACCAGATTGACTTAACCCCTGTGTGACTAACTTAACAACTGCAGCGATTCACTTGACAACTGTGGCAGGAAAAGGTCGTAAAATGGGGCCAAACTCACTTAACAACTGCCTCACTTAGCAATGGAAATTCTGGGCTCAATTGTGGTCAAGGACTGCCTTATTCTCTTCCCAAGGACATGTTCTGTCTCTATAGCAATCTTCCTCAAATTGCTGCCTTCTAGAAGTACTGGGACTAATAGATTTTTTTTTCCTGCCAGTGTGATTTTAGCTTTGAAGACTTAGGGGTCTGTCTCTGAAATGTCCTCATGCAGGGCTTGCCACGCAGCTTCTTCCCCTCGTTTGCCTTGAGGGTCTGGCTTTTAGTAATACGAAGCCTTTGGATCTAGAAGTTCTATTCAGTTCTCAGGCTAGTCATTAATTATGGGCTTGCATGGCTTGGAACAATGTTCTCTGGTACATATGGGGTGTGTGTGTGCCAAATGGTGACAGATTGAAATGCAATCCTTAAAAGAGAGAAAGACTACATTTTCATGAGCCCCAAAGCGATGAGACGTTGGCTGCTTCCCTCCCGACTTGTGGCAATGAAAGTACATCTTTTCCGTCCTCCTCCTCTGCAGTCGATCAGTGAGAGAGGAAAAAGATGAAAAATCGCTTCGATTAGAACAGCACATCTGGCTGGTTGGCTCCTGTGGCATCAGCCTAGCATGACCTTGGAGAGTCTTTCCCTGTAATATCTCCAGATATCTGGCCGAGCTTCCCAGATTTCTGGCAAAGGACTTCCTGGATGTAATTATTACTCGAATTTATACACGCGCTTTGTTGCTAGAGGTTCTGAATGACTACTTGCAGGTACCCTGGTCGTAGCTTTTTCCTTGCTACCCCTTTGCAACTCCAGGTTTTCTGTTAATGCTCTAAATCGGGGGTCTTCAAACGTGGCCCTTTTATGACTGGTGGACTTCAACTCCCATGAGCCCCCGTCAGGATCAAACTCCAGACTGTGGACCGAGTTCGCCTGCAGTATTGCATCCCAACCCCTGCGCCACCAGGGCTGAAGTTAATGGAAGACAGTTATCAAGTGCTTGTGGTTTTGGTGGCAACCTGCCATTGAGGAAACAAATGTAGAGATGTTTTGGGTCGTTTTACTTTTCCTCTCCCATCTTGGAATGCCTTATGATGGAACTTTGCCACTTTTGAAAGTTAAGCTGGTCATATAAGGAATTGGGTATGTCTAGTTTAATGAAGAAAAGGACGAGGGGGGACATGACAGCAGTGTTCTAGTATCTCAGGGATTGCCACAAAGAAGAGGGAGTCAAGCTATTCTCCAAAGTGCCTGAAGGCGGAACAAGAAGCAACGGATG